ATTTTTTTTTGTTTTGCTCTGCCGCCCACTAGGTTTTTTTTTTTTTTGGTCTCGGTTCCCCCCCCCCGCGTCCTGATATTTGACCTCTGTCATCTGGTCACCCTACTGCCCCCAAGAAATCTCCTGAAGCCTAGCAGCCTCAGAAATGAAGCCCAGCCCAGGAGAGATCTGTTTGGCAACACCAGCTGTGACAACACCTTTGTTTGAAAGTCTCTCCAGATTCTTCTTTGGAGTGATTGCTAGCTGAAGAAAGGAAAGTGTTGAGGACAAAACAGGCAATTAAACACTATTTGCCAGAATTATACAATAGTGAACAGTATTTCAGCTTGTCTTTAAAAAACAAGCTGCAAAAATATTACAGCCTGGTACTACTATTTGATATTCCTATGAGCATCAAGATGTGGAAGCCTAAAACAACATGGAAAAGGGAACACACAAAGCAAAGAAAGATGGAGAGTTTTGTCTATGGGGCAAAGTTCACGTGTTTTTATTATATATACAAATACATACACACAAATGTGTGCACTGTACTGTGTGTATATATAGATATATATATATATTTACATCTATATTCACAAAGAAACACCCTGAAGTAGATTTAAAGGCCATATCCAGGAACAGAAGATATGAACTCTAGTATTTGTACTAGAATATATTTTATCTGTACAAAAAACCCAAATATGCATATATTCATATGGTATAAAGCTTATTAACAAAAAATATTCTGCTACTACCATTAGGTATAAAGCTTATTAACAAAAAATATTCTGCTACTACCATTAGGTTAAATAGATGGTTTTACAAGATTCTTTAATAATGCAGTATAGAACATTTCTAAAACTAGAACCAAAATAAAAATACATAAATGGGTTTCTATTCACAGGAAAATAGTTGTTCAATAGGATTACATTTCATATTCCAGAATAGGGAAACGTAGCAAAATTTTATAAATCTCCTGGGATGCAATTTAATTACTGCATTCATTTAGAAAAATAGACTTTTAGGATGAACAAAGCTGATTCACTTCCCCTTTCCCCAACAGTGTGTCTATCTTTTCCCTCTCTTGTTTCCAGCTGGAGGTTTCTTCAGCTGAAGAAGTTGCCCTCCTGTCCCAAAACCTGTAGATGCAGGATTAGACACCCCAAATGTCAAGCCAGCCGATGCTGTGATGCCAGGATTACTGAAGTTAAACCCAGATGTAGTTGAGCTGCCAAAGCCTTGTATGGGAAGGAAAAATATTTTAAAATTAGAAGTCAGTTAAATCATAACTTCAGATTTGCCCTCACTCCAAATTTACCAGGGATAGTTACTTATTGAATTACTAGTAATTACACTACTCTGAAGATATCAAAGTGGACCCACAATACTATGTCACATTCCTAACACATTGTTTTAGATTTGCTGCATTGAGTCAGAGGCATACAGTGCTTGCACTGTAACATCTAAGTTACTATACCCTATAGCATAATAGTTATTTCACTTCGTTATTATCTGTATTACAGTAGCATCTAGAGTTTTCAACTGAGATTGGGGCCCTACTCTGCAAGGCACTGTGCACGTCTGTCCATGTCTCTGCATTACAATCTACCTAGACAAGCCAGACGAAGGGTGGGAGAAGTAGAGGCACAAACAGGTGAAGTGACTGGCCTGTGGTCTCTCAGCAGATAAATGGCATATCTGGAAGAGAGCTAACAGTCTTGTGCCCTCTTAACAAGACCACATAGTCTTCCTAATATGTGCAACACAGGTCCTAACCTAAAAGGGAAATAAGTAAACACTAAACATCCATGCCAAGTTTTAGCTATTTAAAAAAGCCCTTTTGAATTTGTGTACAAAAGACAGCAAGCTTTGGAAAAAACAAAGAATAGCTCAGAAGATGTTGCTAAAGTAAACAAATGAAATCCATCAATCTTCCTTTAGACTGAAAGTGAACATGAGAAATTTTGTTCAAGAATTTACAAAATAGAACTGGTCAAATACTAACTGTTTTGCAATAATAAGCAAGTAAAAACTCCAAGTTCTGTTCACTCAGATTTGAGAGGTCACATTAGTTATGCATAGGTATTTGGACAATAGTTGGATATTTATGAAAGTGTTAGAGAATCTTAAGAGTTTCTGAGGCCTGGTCTACACTACGGGTTTAGGTCGACTTTAGCAGCGTTAAATCGAATTAAGCCTGGACACGTCCACACGACGAAGCCCTTTCTTTCGACTTAAAGGGTCCTTTAAACCGGTTTCTTTACACCACCTCCGACGAGGGGATTAGCGATAAAACCAGCCTTTGCGGGTCGGAATTGGGGTAGTGTGGACGGAATTCGACGTTATTGGCCTCCGGGAGCTATCCCACAGTGCTTCATTGTGACCGCTCTAGACAGCACTCTCAACTCAGATGCACTGACCAGGTAGACAGGAAAAGACCCGCGAACGTTTGAATTTCATTTCCTGTTTGCTCAGCGTGGAGAGCACAGGTGACCACGCAGAGCTCATCAGCACAGGTAACCGTGATGGAGTCCCAGGATCGCAAAAGAGCTCCAGCATGGACCAAACGGGAGGTACGGGATCTGCTCGCCATATGGGGAGATGAATCAGTGCTAGCTGAACTCCGTAGCAGTAAACAAAATGGCAAAGTATTAGAAAAGGTCTCCAAGGCCATGAAGGACCGAGGCCATAACAGGGACACACAGCAGTGCCGTGTGAAAATTAAGGAGCTACGGCAAGCCTACCACAAAGCCAGAGAAGCAAACGGAAGGTCTGGGGCAGAGCCGCAAACTTGCCGCTTCTACGCGGAGCTGCATGCCATTCTAGGGGGTGCAGCCACCACTACCCCAACCGTATGCTATGACGCCGTCAATGGAGAAACACACAGGGAAGACGGTTCGGGGAACGAGGAAGATGAGGATGGAGGTACTGTAGGTAGCTCACAGCAGCAAGAAAGCGGAGAAACCGGTTTCCCCAACAGCCAGGATATGTTTGTGACCCTGGACCTGGAACCAGTAACCCCCGAACTCACCCAAGACCCTCAGGGCACACAGGAGACCTCTGGTGAGGTAAATATTTGTAAAACCAAGCGTGTTTAATGATTAATTTTCCCTGGCAATTGTGGCCAGTACATCTACTGGAAAAGTCTGTTAACGTGTATGGGGATGGAGCGGAAATCCTCCAGCTACATATCCAGAAAGCTCTCCTTCATGTACTCCAGGCCAGTAGCACGTAGTCTGGAATCATTGCATAACAAAGCATGGCAGCGTATGGTCCCGGTGTTTGCTGGCATGCAGACAATATCCATTTCTTATCGCTCTTTGTAACCATCAGGAAAGTGATTTCATTCACGGTCACCTG